CGACACCTCCAGGAGGCTAGACAGTGATCTCTGGCGTCCCAGAGACACTCCCCTAATGCCAGGTCTCACTGCTCCCCACACTAACCGAACAACCTCCTTTACCTTACCTATACTACCACAGAGGAGGTAGACCCAGGGAAGGAAGCCTTGTTAGGCTATCACACTCCCCCGCCGGGTTAGGCTGTACAGTCTACCTCCCCAGGACGAGCCCTCACAACAATGACACCTCCAGGAGGCTGGACAGTGATCTCAGCCCAAACAGCACTGCCAACTTCAACCAAGCCCAGGCTCCGTTTATGCGAGCTCCAGGCAGAAGCAATGCTGATACTACCTTTACTAGCACATTCACCATACTCTATTTCACACGCTACATAGCATAACTACAATGTAAGCTAAAGTTAAAGGAGATAAATGAACTCACAGGATCAGCAAACACACTCACTTTGCAGCATGGTCTCAAACAAAATGGATTCAAATAGGCCACTCCCACACTTAAATAACCTTCCTCTTCCTGGATTTCCTTCTTACTTACACATGGCTTTCTCAGCCCAAACAGCACTGCCATCTTCAACCAAACCCAGGCTCCATACATGCGAGCTCCAGGCAGAAGCAATGCTGATACTAGCTTTCCTGTCACATTCACCATACTCTATTTCACACACTACATAGCATAACTACAATATAAGCTAAAGTTAAAGGAGCTAACTGGACTTACAGGATCAGCAAGCACACTCACCTTGCCGCATGGCCTCAAACAAAATGGATTCCAATAGGCCACTCCCACACTTAAATACTTCCTCTTCCTGGATTTCTCCTGACAGGAAGTGGATCTCTCCACCTGATCTCAAGGAGTTATGTGCCCTGCTTAGTAGTTCCCCCTGCTGGCCCCCAGCTGACATTATTTCTTCTGTAATAGATAAACTGGCTGCATTTAATTGCTTCATCTGACATTTCCCTCACTGTCTTCCTCAAATTCTGTCCCCGCACTCCGAGTTCCCCCAGGAGTGAGACAGTTGATCTTGCTATGAATCCCCTACACCCCACTTCCACTGGACAAATCCTAGTCTTCCATCCTCGCTGCTCAGCTTCTGCTCCTAAGTCTGCATATCTAAGCTTTTTTCTTTCATAGGCTTCTTCCACTGAGTCTTCCCAAGGAACTGTCAGCTCAATGAAATAAACTATCTGTTGACTCACTGACCACAACACTAAGTCAGGCCTCTGCCTGGTACAGACTATTTCCTGAGGAACAACAAGCTTTCCCCCTAAATCTACTTGCATTTCCCAATCACAAGCACCTTCTAGGCGGCCACACCCTTGCCTCCTCACTAACTTATCCCTTCTGTATTTCTCTCCCTCACGGACAAACTGAATTACTAAGCCCCTATCCTTAACACCTTCTGAATTCACCTGTCTTCGTTTCCCTTCGATGCCTGCAGCTAAACATTTCAACACCTGATTATGTCGCCATGTATATCGGCCTTGTGACAAGCTAACTTTACAGCCTGACAAAATATGCTTTAAAGTTGCGGTACGTGAACACAATGGGCATGATGGGTCCTCATTTACCCACAGTTTTAGGTTCTGGGGGGTTGGTAACACATCGTATGTAGCCCCTACCAGGAATCTAATACGATTCTCCTCCATACTCCACAGGTCCCTCCAACTAAGCTTCCTCTTCTCTACACTTTCCCAATTCAACCACTGTCCCTGTTTAGCCTGGGCCACTACCTTTGCACCCCTTACTATCTCTTCCTGTCTGCGTATCTGTTCTACAACCAGCTTTCTTTTATCTTTGAGGCCTGCTGTATTCCATACCGGTTTACCTGAGCCAAGCCCCAGGCCTCCCCGGCCAAACTGAACATTACCTACAATCTCTGCATGTCTAAGAGCTGCCTCTGCCTCCTGAACTGCCGATCTTGGGTTCCACTTCCTCCCCTTGGTTGGATTTGGAACCACACTCCTAACTACCACGTCCTTACTCCCAGATAACAAGAGCTCTGTCCTGACCTTGGTACATTTAAATTCCTCTGTTAAACTAGATACTGGCAGCTGAAGTATCCCTTTTCCATACAATGCAACACTACTTAGGCACCTAGGAGCGCCCAACCACTTCCTAATGTAGGAGCTAACCGACCTTTCCATTCTCTCCACAACAGATATTGGAATTTCATAAACTGACAATGGCCACATTAACCTAGGATATAGCCCAAATTGCAAACACCACAACTTCAACTTTCCTGGAAGTTCTGATTTATCTATTCTATCCAATCCTTCAGCCACATCTTTTCTAAATTTCACCACCTGTTCCTTATCATTCAACTCTACATTGTACCACCTACCTAAGCTCTTTACTGACTTTTCCCTAATTGTTGGGATGTCCTCATCATCTATGACAAACTTCCTATCACTTAACTTCCCTCTACATATCGAGATGCTTCTAGATTTACTAGGCTTGATTTTCATGCTGGCCCACTTGAGGTTCTTATTTACCTTCTCTAGTAGCCTCTTTGTACATGGCATTGTTGTGGTCACCAGTGTCATGTCATCCATGTAAGCCCTAACTGGTGGAAGATGCAACCCATTCTGCCGTCTCTCCCCACCTACCACCCACTTAGAAGCCCTGATGATTACTTCCATTGCCATAGTAAATGCTAATGGAGAAATTGTACACCCTGCCATGATGCCTATTTCTAGCCTCTGCCAACCTGTTGTGAAACCTGCTGTACTTAGACACAACCTAATATCCTGAAAATATGCTTTCACTAAGTTAACAACTACCTGTGGCACTCTGAAGTAGTCAAACGCACTCCAAATGAGGCTGTGCGGTACTGAACCAAACGCATTTGCAAGATCTAAAAATATTACATGTAGGTCCCTTTTGTTAATCTTCGCTGCCTGAATCTGGTGCCAGATCATGCTAGTATGCTCTAAACACCCTGAAAAACCTGGTATTCCTGCCTTCTGCACCATGGTATCTATTAAGCTATTCCTTTCTAAGTAGCTAGCTAGTCTCTGCGCTACTACACTAAAGAAAATCTTCCCCTCCACATTCAAGAGAGAAATCATCCGGAACTGGCTAAGGTCCACAGACTCCTTCTCCTTAGGAATGAGGACACCCCCTGCCCTACGCCATGCTCTTGGTATAATTTGTTTTTCCCAAACTATTCTTAGCTGTTTCCACAAAAATTTAAGGGTATCAGGCGCACTTTTATAAACCCGGTAGGGGACTCCATTAGGCCCTGGGGCCGAAGAAGCCTTTGCACGCCTGACCACCTCCTGAACTTCCTTCCACCTAGGTGGCCTGACATCCATCTCATGCTCTATCCCTCCTAATGGAGGGATATCAGGTGGGAAACCTACTATCCTATTCTTCTCCAAATCTGAATACGTGTTTCTCAAATATTCTTCAACCTCTAACCTTTCTGCTTTAAGCTGCCCTCCCTTTTCCTGGCTGAACAATCCTTTAACAAACTTAAAAGGGTCCCTGAAAAAACCTGTCCTAGCATATTCCTTCTTCCTCCTCTTTTTCCTGAGATGCTCCGCCCTTCTAAGAACTGCTAGCCTGCTTCTCAACTCCTCTTGCAACACCTTAATTCCCTCCCTTTCTTCTTCTGTAGCCTTTTTCCACTGCTTTCTTAACTGTCTCCTTTCCTTGACTAACTTCTCTATTTCTCTCTGCCGCCTAGACTTACCTGACTGTACCCTCTCACTCCTCTTTCTCTCATGCACCCCAAACCTCTCTACACCATATGAATACATTATATCTCCCATCTTTTCTAACCTTTCTATTGCATTTCCTCCAAGCCTACTCAAGATTACTGACAAATCTCTATTAACTATCTCCCATTCTTTACTGTCATTTGCTCTAGGCCATCTAACTCTAACCTTTTGCTCCATGGTTCTCTCTCTGGCTAGCATACTGGCCTCAGTGTCACCTGCATCCTCTCTTACTACCCCCTCCTCCTCAGTGGCAGCGTTACTGATATCCTGCGAACTGTGGTTTTCTACCTGCCGCTGGACTTCATCCAACTGACTCAACTGACTTCTTAGGAAGTACTGATCAATGCGGCTACTCTGCCCTTTCTTTGCCACACACTTCTTTCCCTGATGAGTTCTGAGGCCTTTCACTGATGTTACTTTCTGCCAGACGCAAGGACAAACCTGAAGCATCTTGTTCTCAACTGTGCTACTTTTATCCTCTACAGATGCGCTCACCTTGTCCTGAGTGCTGCTAATTCTAGCACTGGTGGATAGGTCCGTGCCCCTATCCTTCACTGAGTCACAGATCCAAGTCATAGTCGTGTCCGTTCCAATGTCTGTTACCGTGTAATCCACCTGTGAGTCATCTTCCACCCCTGCTCTCACTGACTCTTGGGGTATTTTTCCTATGGTGGCTGTAGCTAATTTTGGTTGTAATAAGGCTGCTAGGCCTCACCACTGCTACCATGGGTTGCTAACCCATGCCAGCACCGTTGGGGTCTTTTCCCTCCTGTCAGCTGTCTTTCCAAGCGGTCACATGGTCTTTCCCTTGTTGTCAGCTGCCCTATTCACAGCAGTCACTAGCTGGGCTAGTTCTGAATTCAAATAAACACAAGAAGTTTGTGCTCTTTAAAAAAAAAAAAAAAAAAAAAAAAAAAGGATCAGCACTCAGTGAATAACCTCCTAAGCCCTACGATAAGCTATTATGGCAAGGCTTAACTATACAGACCAGTTGTGTATGTTTAGCACATCAATTGTATGAACAGTGGCATCATATATCTTTGACCTGGGTTTGCTGTTATAAGGATAAATGGGCCAGTTTCCTGTAAACCTGATGTCTAACCTTTCACCAATAAAATCTCATGGGTGTTTAGTCAGGAAAAGGCTGTCACAGCCCGGCAGGACATGCAGACTATTAAGGGAAGGATCTGTGTTGATTAATACAAAATGGGAAATGGTGGAAAGTTTTTTGGGACAAAGCCGTACAACTAACCGTGTGTCTCTTCTCTCGTTCTGTCCAGACTGATTTGGAGGCCGACGTCACTGCTGCTTTGATGAAGGTCCAGCGGAGCTCTGAGGCTGACCTAACTGCTCAGCACCGTGCCCTCCAGCTCAGCGTGCAGAGGAAGGGAACAGAGCTGTCACAGAACGGAGCCAACATGGCTGGTTCTGCTCCCATGAGCTGGGAAGATCACACATTCCTCTTGTCATTTAATACAAAGTAAACAGAACTAAAACCACATTATTTAATGCTAGATTTCACACTTAACAGTCGAAACGTTGCTTCGATGATTGATGAAATCCTTTTGATATGAGCAGAGGTTGTAGGATTTGCATCAGTATGTTTAATGGAATCATGGAGGTCCAGTTGTGTTGCTGTGTGTGTGTGTGTGTGTGTGTGTGTGTGTGTGTGTGTGTGTGTGTGTGTGTGTGTAAGGTCAGATCTTAGATGTTGAACAGAGTAATAAGTTATATATTTTTTAAAGTTTTGGTTATGTCTAGCTTGAGTACAGTTTGCTCAGTTGAAGTGTTTTTGACTTTGTTGGTTAGCTCATTACAAAAATTTTAACAAAAAATAATTATTGTAATGTTGAAATAAATCAATAAATAATTTATCAGTGGGGGATTTATTAGTTCCCATTTAAACTGACACAAACATGGCCTTAAAAACTACTTTTCCATATTGCTCAGTGAGCTCCTTAAAAGGTAACCTTGGTATTTTTCAACCTGGCCCCTATTTTCCCATGTTTTTGTGTTTAAGTGACTAATGAGAACAAGTTTTGAAATTAAAGAAGAAGACATACTTTATTGACTGATATATACACACATTCCCGAAATACACACACATGCACAGACAGGACCTATACATGCACTAAATGGAGAGATGTCACATGAGATTCCTTGGATAGGCCCCCAAGCTGCTGGGGGTTCAGTGCCTTGCTCAAGGGCATTTCAACAGTGCTCAAGAGGCCAACTGGCACCTCTCCAGCTACCCGTCCGCACTCTATACTCTGTATGGGGACTTGAACCGGCGACCCTAAGATTCCCAAGCCAAGTCCCTATTGGCTGAGATACTGCTGCTGCAAAACAGGCTGCATTGTAATCCCTAAGGGCAATTGAACACCAGCAAAAGTGCTTGTTTTTGCCACTGACAGGCTCAGATTGTTATTCTAGGTGTCTGACAACGTTATGGAAAGGATCCCTACTGAGATAGACTTTTTTGCTCCAGAGTAAGATCTATTTTGTTTAACCAGAAATAGCCCCAAAATTGCTATCGCCAAACTCACCAGTCCCCATTTAAATAAACAGCAATTTTAGAGTACATAGAGCTAGCATATTTTTACATCTAACTGGCCGAATTAAGGGTTTATTCGAACCAAGCCACAGTTGGCGAATGGTGGAACAGTGGAAATATGAACCAAGATGGCTTTTGTATGTTTTATTTTGTTTGTTGACTCTAAATGAAGTTTGTTTTGCAATGACAAAATTACATTGTGCGTTGGTTTGCTTTGTAATAAAAAAGGGCTATCTCTGTAGGGATCCTTTTAAAAATGTTGTCAGACACTTATTTTAACAATCTGAGCCTGTCAGTGGCAAGAAAAGCACTTTTGGTTGATGCACACTGATGGCGCACAAATGCCTGCAGGAATTACATCACAACCATTTTCAAGAAAATGTTGTCTCCATCAGTCACTTAGACACAAATGTATGGGAAAATAGGGTCCAGGCTGAAAAATACCCTTTAAATCATGGCTTCAACTCTTCTTTCTTTCTGTATGTCATTAAACTCTATCCTGGTTGGTGCACGGACACATGTAACAACATTGAAACTCTTTTAGGTTTGGCACTTGGCTCACGCACAGCTGATCGAGAAAATAGATTTTCAGGGCCTTTAAGGTGGCTGAAACTTCAGCTGCTGCCTGATTACTGTTGACCACCTAAATGGCCACCACAGGGTGCTACGTCACCTAAAAACCCTCTATTTGTGGTTTTCAATGAGACAACACTTGGTAAACTAGAAAAAGAGGGATGATTAAAGGATGGCAATTCTGAGCTAAGCTTACAAGTTACAAGAAATCAAAAAGAAACGGGGGACTGAGTCTAACATGTGACTTCTAGTGAACCAGCCATAGTGTGACTCAGACTGAAGGGATGGCTGTGAGTGGGAAATAATGAAAGGTTTGTTATTTATAGCTGCTGTGTTGTGGGGGCCGAGAAGGGTGGTCGATCTGTAACGTTCATGCTCTCGGTGGTTAACACCGCCCAAACGATTCCTGTGCAGATGAACCCTGCAGCTGTAAATCACTGCATGTGTGTGTTTGTTTTGGAAGTGAAAGAAATTTGGAGTGTCTGTGTGTGTGTGTGTGTGTTGCATTGTTGTACAGTATTTCATGACTTAAGGAGCCGAACTATCAGGAGCACCAGTATCAAAATTTAACTTATGTGGATAAATATTAATATAGGCTTACATGGGCTGTGTACAGTTAATTTGGTAGAACATCTCTTATCAGGAAAAAAATATTCAATTAACAATTAAACACCACTTATAGGTTATTTTACAGTAAAGTCAAATATCTGTATATAAAGATGATTATAAGGATTAAATGTCAATAAATGCCTTTGAAGTTAAAAAAACTAAGTGACCTGCAGTTTCATTTTTCTTTCTGTTTAATAACGCACAACGTGATTTTACCAAGTAGGACATGCTCCTGGATCAACATCCCATATCGCATTCTTGGACCAACATTGCAATCAACCAATCACAGCCCTCTGACATCATCAGTGTGCTGCTCTCGGGCTTCTTTCCAAGTTTCTTTGTATTTCTTCAGAGCTAAGCTAGTTTAACAAATTGAAGTTAATTAAACAAAATCCTCAGTAACATTAAACAAAAACCTTATAAGATTCTTCGTCTGGCCTGTATCCTTTCATCGTCCAGGTCAATTAGACCATGATCACCATTTGGTGGTCGGTGTTTAGGGCAGTTGGTTGTTATGTGTTCCCAGTGGTGTAGTGGTAGTTGATGAGGTGGGTGTACTACTAGGTAGATAGGTAGGTTACCGATGAGATAGCATACTCTCCTATTACAATGGCTGTTTAGCTGATAGGTGGGTAAACTGTCACTGGATAGAAAAAGAAGTGGGTATACCACTTATACCTGAGTATACCCTCCACTACATCACTGTGTGTTCCACAGTTTGTAGTGGGCATTGTCAATGAGACAATGAGTGCAGGTGCTAGCCAGGAAAATCTCTGGTGGAACCTTGATGGTTCTGCTGACTTCCACTGGTCCCTCCATCTTGCCATGACCCAGGCAGCCTTGGAGGTATCACATGGTGTTGTACAGAGCAGTTCTTGGGCATGTGTGGCAAAGGGGCGACATGGGCGGTTGTCTTTGCCTTGACACTGACCAGGTGTTGTTTAAATGATAGTGTTCTGTCAAGCTTCACACCCACATATGTGGGGAAGGGCTGGAACTGTAGCCTGATGCTATCGATCATGATGTTTAGACCTTTTAAGTCACTAAAGGGTTAGCAAATTAGCTTGTTAACTCAATTGGCTATGCTAATGAGTTAACTTGCTGATAACAGGCTAGAATATTGTTCACTAACAAAGAGTAAGGATACGAGCATTGCAAGCTAATTTGCTAACCCTGTAGTAGCTTATAAGGTTTTCATTTAATGTTACTGAGGATTCTGTTTAATTGAATTAACTTCAGTTTGGAAAACTAGCTTAGCTCTGAAGAAGCACAAAGGAATTTTTAAAGAAGCACAGGAGCAGCACACTGACGATGTCAGAGGGCTGTGAATGCGATGTGGGATGTTGATCCAGGAGCATGTCCAACCTGGCAAAATCACATTGTGCTTGTAGTAATCATGTCTTCAGTGTTGGAACAGTATTTACCCTTTAAGTTCCTGTAAGAAAAAGATGCTAAGATAAATTTTAAGTTAGTGGATCAGAAATAAAACTTTGCTTATTTTTATTATCTGTGTTTTAGGGGTATATTGAGAGTAAGTATCGGATATTTCTTCACAAATAACACCTTAAATTTGTAACCAATCCTCTAAACTTGCTTGCATTCTAAAGACATTGTTGGGTTGTGATGTATGCGGACTGTGGGTGGTACTGTAACCTCACCAAAACCTTTCACAATAGGAAACTCATTTCCTCCACAGCCCACTCTGGTGACTTTACCATTTCACCCTCAGACCTTGTGAGTGGCATAACGGCGTCGTTGTGCCTTTTTTTTTTTTTTCAATAATCTATGACTAACCCATGTAAATATTCAAAGCTTAAAATACCCTTAAATTAACACGTCTAGTTCCACAATTGTTGTTTCAGGTATTTGAGTGAGTCACTTGTGAGTCATGGATAGATTTTAGTTTCATGCCAAAACAACATCTTTTGAAAAACATTTTAAAGTAATTGTTGGCATGAAATTAAAGCATGTCATGAGTTCAATCCAAAGTCCACAGGATGCAGTTGCTTTTACTGTTCTTTAAATGTTTTAGAAACCTGCCAACTTTATGGTTTAAGTCAGTACTTGCCAACCAGGGGTACCTCTGCTGTTCCCAAGACAGGTATGTGTAAATACTTAAAAGTAAGCTCAAGTAATTTGCTGTTACTCCTGGACACTAACTTAGAGAGCATGAAAACTATTACAGTAAGCAATTAAACAAAAAGGGTTTTTTGGGGAGTTTTTCCTCATCTGCTGTGAGGGACCAAAGGACAGAGGGATGTCATATGCTGTAAAGCCCTCTGAGACAAATTGTGATTTGTGATATTGGGCTTTATAAATAAAATTGAATTGAATTGAATTGAATTGAGAAGTCCAACCAGTTATCTGAAGGTTATTTTTCTCCTGCCTCTGTGCCATCAATAGCTATTACAAATTTGGGTTGTATGTCCGCCTGTGCCATTCTCTTTCACACAATACCAAAAGAGCAGCTTGAGGATTTTTTTTTTTAAATTTGGCACAAATGTCCACTCGGACACAATGATGAACTGATTACATTTTGGTGGTCAGAGGTCAAGGTCATAGTGACCTTGCATGTGCTCATTCTCGTGAATGCAATATCTCACGAGGGCCTTGAGGGAGGTTTCTCAAATTTGGCACAAACGTCCACTTGGACTCAAAAATGAACTGATTAGAATATGGTGGTCAAAGGTCAAAGTCAATGTAACCTTGTTCACATTCTGTAAACACAATATCTCAAGGACACATTGAGGGAATTTCTTCAAATTTGGCCCATTTTAGTTTAGTCAAAGGTCACTGTGACCTCACAACCCTCCATTTTTTTGGCCAAAACTCAAGAATTCATACACTTATTATAACAAAATTTCACACAAATGTTTCATAGAAGAAAATAATGAATGATGCCATTTTATATCCAAAAGGTCAAAAGTCAACTTCACTGTGACACCATAATGTTCTGCAAAGACACATCTAGCCATTACTCAACATCATATCCGAAGAACAGAAGGGGAGACATCTGGTCAAGATACATAATTGGAGACACTAATCTTGGGTGTCCACTTTGAAACTGTGCTGATTGTGTTTATGCTGCTGGAGGGAAGATGTGTGTGTACCATCCATGTTTTTACAGACACAGATGTAAACTCTAAGTGAAACTTGACTGGGTGATGGAGGCATTAAACCACAAGGCAGTTATTCTAGGTTGTTTTTTTTTTTTAGCAGAAGCTAATGAACACTTGAAATAGTTAGCTTAAGAGAATACACTCCTCAAATAATTAGCTAAAGCTAATGAATAAACATTTGAAATAGTATTATAAGTATCTTGAAAATATCATCAGCTATCATCTGAGCAGATACCTAATTATATCGACACAATGTCCCATAAAACTCCTCCCTACCTCCCTCTCTCCTCCCAGACAAAGAAGAGGTAAATCTCACTAAATTGTCCCTCTAGGCTCCCTTACATTCAAGATGGTGGCACAGATAACAAAACAGGGATATATTTATGCCTCTCATGCCTACATATCGGGTTTGGAATGTATCTACACATGCTCCAGTTCAAATTAAAACCAGAACTTTTCCATTTATTGTGAGTTTTTGAACCACGTAAAAGGCCGGACTTGTTTGTTGCTATTTTAGGCTAGCTGATTGTTGGTGTTGTACTGAAGCTCTAGAACTGTATCTGTTTCCTCCTGTACACCAGAAATGCTCTTTGCTCTGTGCTTTTACTTAAAGATTTAGTTGATTACCTGCAGCCCCTATCAGTCAATTAAGAATGAGGAGTCAGCAGTCAATAAAACAGGGTTTTCAACAACTGTGACCATGAGATTACCTTGAGCATACAGTCATAAATGTGCACACAAAATATTAGGCTGATTAGTCCAGTAGTATGCTAGATTAGCTGTGGAGAGATACACATACAGACTTGACCAAACACATGACTGCCTGCAGGCTTACGCCCAGTGGAAATACTACATAAAAAGTTCAAATGGATAATAAATAAATAGTCAGCTGGGCTAATGGTTATGACATACATAATTGGTGAATAAGCTAAAACGAATGGATAAATCAGTTTATCTGGTTAATCTTGAGTGGACTTCACAATAAAGGCACAAGTGTGTTTTTGTTTTGCCATTTGTTGTTTATGGAGTCACACTGATGACTTTTTTCCAAACTGAATTCATCCTGTTTTGGAACTGAGCTCTGCAGTCTGAACTAAACCATTGTAGCATTTTGCCCAAACTTTCATGTAAACAGACATTTTTTCCTCTCTCAGTTTCCACAAACCTCACAAAGACAGGAAAGGGTAAGTAGTTCCTTTGTTACTCGGGGGCACTTGTGGCATTTGACATATTTATTTTGAGTGTTATCAGTGATGTCATTAGAGCAAATAATTTGACTATTAATAAAAACATCGAGGCTTATCTGGAGGAAACTGTGCTAACCTTGAGTCACCTTCACAATAAAAGCCTTGTTTCCTCTTGTTTTGGTCCCGATGGGGCTTTTATGGTTTATGGAGCCAAACTTGTAGGAAATAATAATAATCTACTGCTTTGTTTCACTTAGATTATAAATGGCCAGCTGCCCTTTAAATTCAGAATCCAGAGTTTTGTTTTGACTCCACTAGATGGCAACCTTCTTTAATTTGCTTTGAGGGAGAGTTATCAAGTTTTCATCTTGTCCCGTCCAGCTTTCATACTTTTTTGTGCACATTTTTTTCTCTCCCACATTCCCAGAATAACAATACTGAGAAACTAGCAAAGCTGTTAAACATCTTGACATCTAAAAACAGCTTGAAATAGACTGATATATATAAAGCTCTTGCACTTCCTTGTTTGTCACTCAAAAGGGGCAACAAGTGTCTGTACCTGCATGTGTCACTTGAGGTGGTGGGCGATGCAGGGTGGGGTGTTTTTTCGAAAGTGAGAGCGTCTGTGTGTGTGCAAGTGTGTGTGAATGCTTGTGCCAGATTGTGCAAGCAATGCAGCGACGTACGTCAGCTTTTAGCACTTTCAAAACCACAGAGGTAGCACATCCCACAGGCCACGCTGCTCCACGTGCTACGTGCAGCCCTGCACTGTACGGCCAACTCCCTGCTATCACTGCTCCACTCTCCACGCATTTGACAAATCACTTCTTAATTGTGTTTGTGGCCATTTAAGCAG